AAATGAAGGTCCCCCTAACAATGTTATCTCAGGAGATTCATCGAAACCAAGTTTCTCTTCGTATCTTAAATAAGCAGTATCTGATGTTGGCGTGCAATGTATTCCTATTGTATGAATGTCTTTTCGAAGCGCGCTTGAGGTCAACTTCTTGATTCAATTTGAAGGTATGAAGAGCAAGATGGTGTGGCCTTTTGTGTGGTCGCAGTCTCCTTTCGTTGTATACTAGTTGTTTGACCTTGTTTTCGCAAGTCTTGTCTCTTTGACGAGTTGTAATATGGTGCTACGAATGGCGAGACTCAATGACGATGCCGGCAAAACGTCTGGGAATGTACCACACCCACGGTCCTACTCTGGAAATGATGATGCCTACAATGGACTCCGGACTAGGTGCATTCCTTCAAGTCTTCCTACCAACATGACCAAGTTGCGAAAACAAGGTCAAAAAACTTCTTGATTTAATGCTGACTGCCAAACTACGGATGTTCGACCAATATAGATTGCGTGGGGCCAGTTGGTGGTGTGTCGAGGAGTGATATGCACAGACGATCATCGCTGTTTCAAAGTAGCCCATCGCCGTTAGAAGAACCACTTCTACTCGTTTGTGGTAAGGACTTACTAAAACTTGAAGAGAAACGAACCTTTGTTGAGCTTACTTGCATTTCGAGTGAAAGTGTTGGATAAAGGGATTCGAAGGTCTGTCCCACCAGAAGAAGATGGCGGATTCAAGTTCTTCCTCCGCTGGAGTATTCAAAACGATTCACAATGCTTACAATTAATTGTTAATACACAATCATTCTCAAAGTCTACTCTATGCGGCAGGGTTCAAGGTGTCTGCTCGGAACTTTCGTGTCTTTCAGCCTCACTCCTGTAGTGAAAAGTTAGTCTGAAGTCATTAATAACAATCCCACTCCGAATTAGACTTAGCGATACTTTCTGGTCAAAGTTCGTCGATATGCGAAAAAAAGTTAGGTTTCGAGGAATCTGTTGTTTCATAATTGTGGAGCTTACTTCCATTTCGAGTAAAAATGTTGCGTGAAGAGATTCGAAGTTCGGTTCCACCAGAAGACGACGGTCAATTCCTCTTGACCAGCTGTCGATTGGCTTTACTCAAATATTCATTCTGACGCTGTTCCCGAGACAAACTCCTTCAATTCCGGTAAAAACGTGCTAAGCTTTTGTCCGTTATGTGAGAACATCATCAGAGCAAGGTATCATCGACATGACAAAATACAAGCTAACGAGTCAAGAATATCATGCTCTGATGATGCTCGTCATGTGACGGACAAAATCTTATCACCTTTTCACCGGAATCCAAGGAGATTGCCTCGGAAACAGCGTCAGTATGAATC